TATGCACATTGTCGAGGTGGGCACAAGGAAGTGGGCAGTCGTGCTGGTCCGGTTCATATGTCTTGATGTCGGCAATGGGCGAGGGGTCGTCGTCGCCCACAGGTGCGACAACCCTGGCGCCGTCAAGGTTGACGGCACATTGCACGACACCTGCCCCCAAGATGAGGGAGGCGGTGATGAATCTTCTCATTGTTGGCGTCGTCGACCACCCAGTGAGTGAGCAAGTAATGAGTGGCACCGACTGCGCAGTCACTGTGTCATCAGAAAGAATAACAAACAGGACATTGAAGACATGGACTCTAGCAATATGTTCAGGAGACCCGGCGACTCTACATTGCTTTGTATCTGGTTGGGGACTGGCTTCCATGGCTCCGTCTTCTTCTCTGCCTGCACCTCTCTACTTACTTCGGGTATCATCAAGATTCCTTTTACTGGGCGTCCACATTCACAAGGCCTAGGATCCCAGTGCGTCTGTACCTCATGGACTTGAGCGGGTGGTCAGCATCAGCTGCGCATCGAGTCTTCTTTTCGGAACACCCGAGTTCTCTCCGTCGAGACACTCATTTTTGCACTTTCGCGCGATCAACCCCTGGGTTCCGCCGTCGCTGTATGACAGTATTTTTCCGGTCTTCTCAATATGCCATTCGATATCGCCGTCCATGACATAGGCAACAGTGCGGCGCGAACCGGTCATGCAGTAAACTATCGAAAAGCGTGTACAACCTGACGCGCATGGCCAAGGCTACATCGAACCAGACCGTTCTGCCTGCTTGCCCAGCTGCCGATAAGGCTGCCAAGCTGTCATCTGATGTTGATATTGGGCCCCCCTGATGACCGACATTGCAGTAGTTGCAGCGACTGGACTCAGGCTGAATCCTTCCAGAGTCTCCTCTCTTCCCAAGCGGCGAAGCCTCTGCCTCGGCAACCTGGAAAGAACATTGCTCATGTACAGATACATCCCTCAATCCAGGCATGACCTCCGAAAGTAACACTCAACAACCTTACCATTCCAGCCTTGTGAGGGTTGGTGACGGGGTTGCAGCCGTGAGTGATATTGAAGACTTCACTACGTAATTAGGCACTCTTCGAGGGTCAGCCGACCGCCAATGGCATCGTTCATGCAGTCATCTCTCTATAAACCTAACGCAGGGTCGTACGGAAGGATCATGTCGACTAACGCAGGGCCGCACAGGAAGATCATGTTGATCGGACCGGACCGGGGAAGAAAAAGGGGAAGGTCACAATAAGAACCGCTTACGGTCAAGCGGCTTACCTAAGACGGGTGGCACAAAAGTCCCTTGCTGCTGTGCCTCTTCAGGCTTGATTGCCATCTTTTTGCCTTCGCTCTTCATCTTTTTTCACAATCACTGTTGTCATAACTGTCCGTCAGAAAATACCACTCTAGTACAACCAACTCCTTCTCTTCACAACCCGAGAAGGCTGAGGCGATATCAGACACGCCACTAGGATTCCGAGACCTGAACCAGAAGGCCTAAAGACGAGATGCCAGTCACGCTTGACCAAGTCGAGTACTCCGAGGCGGCCACCGTCGCCGCCGTGACCGACTTCTACGCCTTTCTGACCAAGATGTACCTTCCCGAGTCGGCCATCGTGCACCCGCCGCCAGGAGGATGGCCCACATTGGCCTCTGATCTGCAGGAGATGGGCAAGTCGGACGAGGTGCTCAGCCTGCTCGCGCACCTTCCGTACATTCGCCAGGGTAATGATCTCGACGAGGGAGAGATACCGGAAGTCACTCCCAGCGGCCGCTGGATGGACTGGCACACATCCGGCATCTGGGTGCGCGAGGGCGGGAGCGACATCGACGAGCTTCGCACCATCAGCGAGGGCCCCGCCATCATGGAGAACGTGCCCGAGCACGTCGTCGGACTGACGATGAGCGAGCATCACGTCTTTCTGCTCGACACGGAACTCGGCGTCGTCTACTGGCCCGAGTGTCCTGGCCGCCTCCGCGACGGGCCGCGTTGCATCGAGGACGACCCGTACGACTACTGCGACGACGACGAAGACGCGGAGTGGCGGGCCGACGGCGCCGCCTGGTCTGTCGCGGATTTCTTCAAGGTGCTCAAGGCCCAGTACCGTACCTTGCGCTGGGTGCCTTGGAACGAGTACGAAGTCTTGGATTCGGAGACCACGTCGAGGAGACCCATCCCGGCGCTCCAGGACGTTTTTCGGCGCCACGGCTGGCCGAACTCGCCACAGTATCGCAAGGAGGAGTGCCTCGAGGAGACGAAAGCGGTCATGGATGCAACAGAGCAGGGAGGGGATGGAGAGGGGAGCGATGAAGAGGGCGCTTAGAGCCGATGTCAATTAGTGTGTTCGGTTGCCTGCTTGGCAGGCTTAGCAGCCTTGGTATTCTTAGCAAGAGAAGCGAGAAGCTTGTTCGTTTACACTTGACTTTGACCGGGGCCTTGTGAAGAAATGTATCCCACCGCGTGCGGCACAGCGCGAGGCAAAGAAAGTGTGTGCGGGGGAATAGCGAATCGGATATGCATCTGAAAGATGACCGCTTATTTCCACGAATGAAGGATGCCCAAAACAGAGTCCATTTAGAAAAGAACTGGAGAACATAAGCATAAACTGACGCAATGTAACACTCCACGGGACAGGATGCTGCGGGAAATTAACAGACGGCTATTAAGCAAAAGACCAGATACAAGGAGGTTAAGCTTACATCCGCAATCACTCTTGCCGTGCATTGTTCCTGGTGGCCTGCAGCCTTCTTCGCGAACTGCAGTTTAGGATTCTGCCCCCTAATCGGCACATGCAGCACGAGACAAACCAAGCCCACTTGCGTTCCGCTTATTTGATTTCCTTCGTGCTGATGCACGCAGGTTATCTGCTGATGATTATGGCCGCAGTTGATATAGACGCGAGGCTGTCAACGCGACACTCGCATGTTGTCGCTCTGCGTCACTTGCGTCTTCGTTGGGCTCCCCTCACCTCGTCTTAATTCTTCTCTCCTGTCTTGACTCTTCGATCTTTGTTCTCACAGATTTTCTCCTCTTGTCACTTAGCCATCCTTCAGCAATCATCAGATCATACCAGACTCCAAGTCTTGACATGATGATGAAGCTGGCCGTCCTCGCCATCCTAGGCGCCTCCGTGGCAGCCATTCCGGATTCTACCATCACCCTTTATGCCCGACAGGCAACGACCGTGTTGCCCTCATCCGCCTCCATGACTTCGCCGCCTTTGACATCGCTGGAGCCTTCATCGACGCTCCGCGACCCATGGCAGTGCGCAACGCAGAACCTATCTCAGTATTTTGACGTGCCCAAGCCCTCGGGCACGCTGAGCGCGGCCATCGACATGTACGTCGACGAGCTCGTAGAGCCCTGCCTTGAGACGGCCACAGGGGCCGACCTGTTCAACTGCCGCGTCACTGAGTCGTCGCAACTGTGCGGCTTCACCACATTCGCGTCGGCGACTCCCGCGCTCATCACCGCTTTTGCGTCGTACGAGAGCGCCGCCGCCTCCTTCTGGCGCAGCAACAGCGCGAGCGTGAGCTCCCTGTCGGTCGAGTGCGCGTCGGCCTGGAACCACTTCGGCGAGCTCAAACATGCTTGGCTGAACCAGACCATCGCCTACGCCAGCTGCGTGTTAGAAGACTTGCCCCCCGTCAGCACGACCATTGCTTCTTCCGGATCCTCTACCGCCCCTGGCACGGCGGTCACTGGGACGACGAGCAGCACAACAAACACGGCTGGATTGGCAAAGAGAACGGATATGTGGATGCTTGCTGGCACTGGCGTCATCGCTGGGGCTGCTAATGTCTTTGCCTAAGAGTCGACGTTTCAGTATTAATTAGATGCAGTTAGGATTACCAACCTCTCCTCCTTCAAATATTTCTACAAATGTTTCGCTCTGCACAAGAAAAGGATTTGTTGAGAAAGAAGCTTATCCATTTTCTCTGGCACACATTGAGTACATAATTCTTGAAGACATGTAATCAGTCAGTCGGGGATACGTCGGACGTGGACATATACATCAAACATGAACATCTAAAGTTGAACGGTGCTATGAGAGACCACGCAACCCATTTCAAATACCATACACAATCTGTAAATTTTGCTAACTGATGGTTCGCGGGCGTGATGCTATTTCCGTGAGGGTCGTGAGGAGTTTAGTTGATCATGAAAGCAAAAGCGAACCAAGTGGGGATTCTGACATGTTCATCGTTCACTGTAGTCTACAGAACGCGACTGAATTTGCACAATTTTATAGTCCGACTCATTTCCAGTTTGGTTTTTTCCACCGTAGTAGCGCCGAAATCTTCATCTAGCGTCTTGGCGAGAGGGTTGTGCCGCACGCTACATGCTTACTTGCGTGGAAGTACCTGTACTTATCCATGTGCTGCTCAGTCTCCTAACAACTGGGGTCCATGTCTGCATCTTTTGGACAATTCTGAGGTCTACAAAAAGGCTCCAGGTCTAGATCTTCGAAACGATGACACCTTCAAGGTCAGCCGCTCCGCCGAACTTGACGAAGGAATACTCCCCCAGCCAACAATAGAACTATGCATTAAGACGATGCTACGTCGGGTAGCAATATTGAATTTGCTGACGCTCCACAACTGTCAATATGGATGGTGCGATCGAAGCATGAGCGATATAGTTGAATTCGAAAGTGAGGACCTTGTGATGGCCCGTGATGGCCCATTGAGGAAGTGAGAAACGCTTGTGGCGATAGTGTCCTCCGACTCGGATCATCAGCGATACTGACCAGCCAGCAGCTCCAGGTAGCCGTTTGCCTAATTGTCCGGATCCGTGTTCATCTACTCTAGCCGGGCGAAGAGGATAGTGCCGACACGACGTGATGCCCTGTCAAGGCAAGGAAACGTCACATGAAAGGTTACATATATATGGATCGTCGGGCAGATTACAATATGGTCGATCAGCTTTGAAGAGTCCATCATTCCCCATACGCAAGAAAATAGCCTTGGTGCCACCACCATCACTGAGAGAACCCAGAGCACCATGCTATCTTACGTGCTGCCCTCACTCCTGCTCGCCGGCAGCTTCGTCGACGTGGCTCAGGCTGGCGTGGCTCATGTTCGTCGCGATGGCTCATCACCTTCATTGACATATGATCCCAACACCACATCGTACTGTACCTGGTGGGTTGACCTGACCACGGCCAAGACCTGCAGCGTCCTGCTGAGTGAGAATGCCATCGACTTGGTTTCCTTCCGAAGATGGGTGAGACCCTCAAGTTTCCCTTGTGAAAGGGTCAAAGTTGGCTAACAAGACTCGCCAGAACCCGTCCATCACAGAAACATGCGTCCTGCAGACGGGCCACTCGTACTGCGTTGAGGCCTTTTTTGAGCCGCCGGTTAGCACGGCCGGGCCATCCACGACGTCCACTATCAAAACCACGTCGACCACGACAACCCCCCCGACCACAACGTCGACCGGCAACGGAATATCCACGCCTCAGCCGACGCAGGCGCAGATCGTTAGTAACTGTAACAAGTTCTACTTTGTGAAGTCCGGCGAGTCATGCTCCACCGTGGCCAGCTCCAACGGCATCACGCTCGCTCAGTTTCTGGAATGGAACCCGTCCGCCGGAAGCACCTGCGCAGGACTCTGGGCCAACGCATACGCCTGCGTCGGTATCATCGGCGGCGCCACGATCACCTCAAGCCCACCCACCACCACCACCTCCACAGGCAACGGTATCGCCACACCCACGCCCACGCAGCCCAACATGGTAGGAAATTGTGACAGCTTCTACTTTGTGAAGTCAGGTGACACGTGCGCCGCCATCGCGAGCAAGTCTGGCATCTCGGTGTCGCAGTTCGTGGACTGGAACCCCAGCGTGGGCAGCTCGTGCGGCGGGCTCTGGCTGGATGCGTATGTATGCATCTCCATCATTGGCCACACTCCCACCACTCCCACCCCGACCAGCCCGGGCAACGGCGTGGCGACTCCCACTCCTATCCAGGACGGAATGACCAAGAGCTGCAAGAAATTCCACTACGTCGTTTCAGGTAACACCTGCACGACTATTGCTTCGCAATACGGCATCACTGTCGCCCAATTTACTTCCTGGAACCCGGCCGTCGGCTCCTCCTGTACTGGTCTCTGGCTCAACACCTATGCCTGCGTGGCCGTGTTGTAATTGAATTGGTGGAAGCTTTGGGCAAGGAGAGTATCTTATTATATGGACGATAAACTTCATGCTTAAATGGGAATCTTAATATTGGATATTGGTTAACGAAGTCGAGCTTTTAATTAGCTTCTCAAGTCTGCAACTAAAGTTGAGAGGACAAGCTGTAGGTAAGATGCTCGTATGAATGTTGCAATAGAAATTCCTTGCGGAAAAGACCGAAAACAGAATGTAAAAATACGAACGCCAGTACCAAACGCAGTGTGCACGACACCGGCAAGATGCAAAGCCGCAGAGCCTGCGCGAGCACCGCGAACAAGAAACAGGAACTGAGCTCAAAGGGATAGGTATCAACCGCGCATATTGTCAACATCCGGGGTCTCCAATAAGAACCTGCACAGGTCCCCTCTCTCTCCGGCGGATAATTCTTTCAAGAGTTTTTGCAACGTCGCAAGTGCAGCCGATTTCGGACCAAGGCACCGCAGACACAAACACTAGCCTAACAATCTCACTGCCAAAAAAACACTGTTATCCGGACAGGAGAACTCAACATGTCCTCAATGAGAGTATATAGCGAACGATGCTATGCTTAGCTGAGAAGAACATTGTCATCCTGGGGTACTGGAGAGCGAACTTCATGGGATCCCTTTATGAACATAACCATCATGAGAATACCGAAGGCTTTGGACACGCTTCAATGAAAACACAGACTGACGTCGGTATCTTCGTACGCCAGCGAGGACCCATTGCTCCACCTTCGGCCACAGTGATACTGATGGGCATTAGTCGTTTCTAAAAATGCAATACAAGCTGTTTCCAGCATGTTTTCGCCCGGAAGGACCGGAAAGGCTCGACCGAGCCAAGAATATCACACAAGGAAGTGATGCCGGACTGAGATCCCTCGTTAGAAGAATTCGTCTCCGGCAATGAGACTGAAAGACGGGCCGTTTGCATAGCCTGGCGAAGATGCACTGCTCGGTGTCATTGACGAGTGTCGGAGTCAGTTGAGTCCAAACTTGCTCATTGACCATTGAACCTAGGGTGCTCTAGTAAAGCACTGCGAGTGGCAAATATGTCTGTTGGGCCTGTGTGGTACTTCTATTGCTGAAGATGATTAATTACTAAGGATTGTCACTTGGGACGACATTGCAGAGCTTACAATATGTTGGATCCGTCGGGAGCTGAGATACATGCCCTGCTATCATTCAAAGGATGTTAGCAAGACGCTTTCAACCCGAAGGAGTTCATGAACACACACTCCTATGGATCACGACACTAGCCTCTGATGCACGAATGAGGTAATGATCCTTTTCAAAGGGGTTTTATGAACTTGATTCTGGCTTTGACTCGCGTCAAGCGTATCACTTTGCCGGCGGCGCTGATGAATGCCTGTCAATGAGGCACTGAAGCATCCCAATGTTCGTCAGTGTGACTCAATGGCTGAGACCATCGCGAGGGGTAGAGGCCAGGCAGTGATACAGATATGTTGGATCGAAGACGTTGTCACAGCAGATGGTCTACGAGGGAAATGAATTGGGTTAGACTTGCAAGAGTCAATTAATTATGCATGATTCAAACAGAAGGGTACATTCCAGATCTAACGACATGCGTGCTATCGCGCTTCAACACGGTTTCGTGCGGTTGATGCGGCAGAAGGGTTCGTTCTTAGAGTTGAGTTGAAGCTGTATTGGAGCCGTCACCAAAGTCCTAATGAATGAATTCGTTGGTCTCCTTGCAAGCCTTCAGCATTTGCTCCCGGAAGAACAAGCGACTTACATACATCGTTCTACATTCAACAAACTTGGTCTGGTTGCAGCAAAAGCGGAATGTCGGCGTAATGAGTACGACCAGTCGGCTTGAGTGAGATATATCGAAACAATGGCTAGAAGTGATACGGATATCCTGTTGACGAGTTGATCAGACGTCCTGACCTGCCTGATAGAATCTCCGCCAATGACAAATTGTGATCGTCTCAGTCACAAGATTTCTCACTAATCCGACAGTCTTTTATTCTTCGACACGATCATCTCAACGACTACCGAACTCCTACCTTCACCAACTACCAAGTATCAACAAACAGCAAAGCTTTCTTTCCGGTTTGGACATCTGGGGGCTGCCCAACATCCCTGAACGTCACCAGAAGCATTCATGTCTTGCTCAGATGTCCGATTCTTGGCGTAACAGTATTCCTCTCGCCTTGCCAAAGCAGTCCTCAACGTCTCCACAGCCTCTCAAGACTGATTTTGAACTTGACCGATTGGTGTTCCCAACATCTCGTTCTCGGGTTCGGCAGTGAACCCGCTCTGCCACAAGCCGGCAACTACATTCGTCAACTGCCATGCAGTTTAGTTGCAGAAGCATAAAGTGACAAACCTAATATCTTCAACATCTTATAGACCCACGAGGTGCTTGCAAGAAGGAGTTCCATTTTTCGCAATCATCATGTGCGCTCCCAAACGTCTTGCACGAAGGATGTGTCAACGATGGACCAACGCTGTCGGCAGCGTCTGGCAATATGAGAGAAGTATCATTGCCACGAGAATTCCCTTAATCCTCACTGATGTGGAAATAAATCTGCTGTGCAAATTCGAAGCTAGCTGAACGGAAAGACCCAAGCGGCAGAGTACATAAAAGCGGACTTCTTCGTCTTAGCAGTAGGAAGCAAGAAGACGAGACAAAGCTCATTGACGATTCTGGCGACATTTATTGGTTTAGGACAGCATGCTGATGGGCAAGCTGGTGTCCACTCCTTGTTTTGTATTTCCGCTTACAAGTTTCTCCTCGGCTTCTACGTTTTTCATTTCGCACGTCCTTGACGTCCAAGACAAAACCAGCAACACAGCTTCGACTGCCTTTATCAACTACACATTCGAAGCGAAAAGAACAAATCCAGTCCGTATTTGTAGCGCATGCTCCCTGACCAGACACTCAACTTCATAACAGAACATGCGAGATGGAAGACGAGAGCCAATGAGTCTGGAGACTCTCTCGCGTCTGAAGCTCTTGTCGACGTTAGCTTGCCTGTTTAAACAGTAGTTTGCTGTCTTCAGTCTCAAAGAACTCAGGGTAATAAAAAAGGCGCATCATGGCCACATTGCGCTTTGATTTCAAAGCTTCAGCGAACATATCTTCTTGATACCTCCAATCATGTCTAACTAAGAAATAACAATAACTATGAAACTTAGTGAAACTTCAGAAGAAAAGATTAAACGCACGGTCCTCTGTAACTACGCTTTCTCTGTACTTTCGAGTGTATTTGCCCACTGTTCAAAGAGCAGAGCCGATGGTTGACATTACTCAAGCTCCCGAGATGCCAATTGTTCGGGCTTGCAAAATGCCATTAGCACTCGAGACGTGACTACGAAGCTGACAGAATGGGTCATACTGCAGAATGCAGCTTCTCACCCCTTCCTGCCCAGAGTCCCCGCCTGGAGACTTCCGATCTGTGAGTATACCTACTCATGTGTTCCTGGACATTCAAGTTGGACGTTAAGCAGAAGAAAGTCAACTTCTATACTCCCCTGAAGCTGTCAAAGACTTCCCAGAAATTCATCAGAAGCTTTGTGGGCCTTGCCAGTAGCAGTTTCACCGAGTGTCCGAGGTCACGAGCACTGCGATCTGACTTTCTGTACATGGATCGCGGGACCGTCATTCCCATCCGACGGCTGTCACAGATGCACTCACGCCATTTTAGCCAATCGGCATGACATGGATGACATGATCAGCCAAGTTGTTGAGATGAATTTGGTGATGATAACAAATACTCGTGCTCAATGCTGTAAAAGGACCGTTATTCCAGCGTTGCTTCGCCTTTCTGGACACTTTGTCAGGGGGCGCTGCATCATATTTCGCGATTTGCCTCATAACACCCATACTACTTCCATCATCTATGCTCGCCGACCAGTAAGCACTTCAGAAAATATACCGGCGGCTCACCGATCTTCACCCCGATGAAAACTGTCCCTATCCTTGTGATGCCTCACTCAGTGCAGGTGTTGGACAGCCTTCCGCTCTGCCAAAACGCATCACTTTGCAGGAATCATGCCTAAGCAGTGGCATCCCTCACAATAATACCCCTGTCAAGGACCCAGCCATCCTTGCGACTACAGGAGCTACAATGGCTCCGTGTCTGACATGATCAAAGTGGGTTTGGTCTACGGAAATCAACGAAATCCTATAAAAATATCTAATATGGCAAATTACTGTCAAGTCGCCTGGGATCTGAATTCTCACGCACATTGTCTTGTAGATGGTCACCGGCTGAGTTTGCAGACGATGCAAAGGGATTCGATGAATAGACTAGAGAATTGAGATAGGACTGCGAACGGATCCAAAGCTATCACCGATGGAGGGATTGGCACCAATTGAACGTTGACTGGTCTCAGACCATTGGCAATCATTGAGTGTCACAGCCAACGAAATCTGAGACGCATTGTCGCTGAGCTAGAAGACGAGATGAGGCGTCTATAAGAGGATCAAAATCTTGTCTTGAAGCTTAACTCCATTAATAATACATCAGGTAGCTATGGCTTCGAATTTCAGATCTAGCTGTCGCAATGATTGTGAACGATGAAGCCATTTCTCTAGCTTCTGACAGCAAAGCCGTCGTTCAACCAAATTGCTACGATTTCGACGGGAACCAAAAGCAGCGGAGGCGCCAGGCACCCAAGCCTAGCTACATGGGCGAAATCTGACGCCTTGAAGAGGTACACCTCGAACCGATTCCTTCTGTGCTACAGCCTCAGGGCTGAGGTCCTAGTAAATCATGATAGGATTGCATTGAACGTCTAGGGAAGGCTTGTGAGTAAGGCTTTAGGAATTAACGAGTCCCCTGGAGGCCCGGTACATTACAGCACCGTGTCTTGTTTCAAGACAATCACATTTGACATGCTCGGCAAAGATCGTTCTTTTTCTCACCGAGAGCCCCAGTCAGTACGCCCAGAAAAAAATCAGCCATCATAGTTCTCCAAGGCCCAAGACCGCTTCATCAACTGAGGGCAGCCACATGCTTC